TAGATATAGATATAGATATAGATATAGATATAGATATAGATATAGATATATATATAGATATAGATATAGATATAGACAGACAGACAGTCACTCGAAATTCAACTAGTCTCGTCTTTCTGATCAACTAGAGATGCAAAAACCTATTATGCTCGGCAGCAACATGTTGCAAGAGTATAAAAATAAAGATGTATCGCAAAATAAATTTTAGAATAGTTAATTACGTCTAAAATTTTGTTGCTTTAATAAATAAATAAACCACAAAAAAACCAGAAAAAAGCAACAAAAACTCCAATTGCACGTCCATATTTAGTTACAAAAGTGGTCAGCGAGTATATCAACAACATAATTGCCGGTCATTTGCCATGAACAACAAGCGAGTGCAACAAAAGTAACATAAAAGTGTAAAGGATAACAGTAATATTGACAATATCAACAAACAACAACAGCATCACAACAAAAACAACACTATAAGAAGCGCAGACACTTCATGAGCTGACCAAAAAAGCAATCAGCCAGGATGGCACATTTCAATGCCACAAAAACGTAACAACAACAACAAAAATACAAAAGGAATGCGTGTATAGCTAAAACAAAACGATTTGCCACGTTTGTCATATGCAAATCACACAGAAGTGTCAGCAGCAGTGGCACACAAGCAGAGGCAGACCAACTCAAATTGTATGCAGGCTGTGGCAGTTGCAACAATGAAAGTGCCAACAACAGTAATGGCGGCAAGCAACATGCGACAATAATGCAACAACTGTACGGCACTCAATATAAGCGGTTCGTTGGTGGCGCCGGGCAAATGCAAATAACTGCAAATGGGTTGTGGACCACCCTGTGGCAAACAGTAGAAAAGAGGCACAGTGGCTTAGGCGCAAAGGCAGCAGGATCGCATGTAGGGGAAAGGTGAAAAAGTACTCATCATTGATGGAGTAGATTAACAAGCGTGCAACAATGTTGCAAAGTGATTACAAACACAAACACACTTTCACACAAACACACACATATACAATCCTCTTGTTACATCACTTTATCACTAGAACTGTTGTTACTGTGTTATTGCTTTGCAACCGTGCAATATTGCATGCAACACATTCTATACACACATGTGCATTTACATATATTGTTGCAGTCAGTATAATAATGGCATGTGGCAAGTACCTACTCAGTGCAAAATGGCGTATTTAAGCATAAAAGTATGCAATACGCTTTTGTTTTAACGGTAAGTCCATGCTGTATGCACATACCTATGTATGTGTTCTTGTCAGTGTGCTGTGACAGTTGGCTGCGCATGTGATTGCTTTGTGGCCGGATACGCAGTTTTTATGCATTTTTGGGTTTTGATAGCATCAACTTTTTAAACTTTATATGCACATTTGCAGTTATTGAGCATGAAAAGTGCTTTCGCCAAAAAAAATGTTGAAATTATAGCAAAAACAGAGCTTGTGGTAATGTTGCCACAGTGTAAAAAAAAATTAAAAAGTGGCGTTATATGCGTGAAAAGTTTTTATAAATTGTTATGTCCATATTAGAAATACAAAGAAAAAAAACCAAACAAACGAGACCACAATTTACCAATTGAAGAGATTTTATAGCAAAACTTTTTTGGAAAAAATGTATTTTAAAAACTTTTACTATTCAAAAATGCAACGCATTCCCTAGTGTCGCTTACTTGATTTCGAAAATAGTTCTGAAATTCAGATCCGATAAATATTTTGAAAATCTTTTTGAATATTAGCCCAATCTGGCTAAACAGAGTTTTAACATTTAAATTCATACAATACTCTTAAAATTTGCTTACGAAATACAGAGTAGACACATGTAGAACATTTTTCCAAGAAATGAAGAGGATGTCTGATGCTCCTTTTTTTTACCGTAATGCTGAAAAATGGGACGAATCATCTTAGTATAAAACGGAAAATAAGAGTCAACAACCGAATATCCAGCAAACTTTGAATGGCATAGGATTATAGACCTTAAAGCTGGTCCTTTTAATGATTTCTTTATAAGAAAAGTGATCTAAGGTGTCTTTGAACAAACTTACTTAGCTCAATTATGTTTCTTTAGACACTTAAAATCGCTTATGGAAAAAAAATTACTTTCTAAACTCACATTACTTTAAAGGTTATATCCAGGTTTTTTTTTTTTTTTTTTTTTTTTTTTGAAGAGAAAATTACAAAATTTAATCTATTTTGAGAATAGCTTCATTTTTAGAAACTTTGAAATTTCTTGAACCCGTAACCAAACTCCATGAGGACGTCCGACAGAAGGAGTCTGACAGTGAAGAAACCTTTTCTGCTTACAATTATATCAAATCAAAATCAAAAAATTCGCCGGATCAGCTCAAAATTTTCTGGGAATATTATAAAATAACATTTATGTGCATTTGATATATATGCATGAATATATAAATAAAATAAAATAAATAATGTTTTTGATATTAACGGAGATATTCACATTACCGAGCGCCACCATTCCTTTAAAAATATGGCAACCTTTAATTTTAATTGCACTCAGTTTTACTACGAACTCTCAACTCTTATCATCTCATACAAGTATTTTATCTGCTTATGAGTATTAACCTCCTAGAGCAACTACCTTAAAATCGTCAAACCAAAGAACCAAAATTATGCATATGTATGTGTATATGTTTGCACGCTGCAAGTATGTACTTAATATAACGGACTGTTACTTATTTTAGTGCCGATGTCCATTTCAGCATATTTTGCTCTTTTACTGTCCATTTTATTGCGACCAGAGATTGCTACGTTATACTTTTCCAGTTGGTCACTCAACTATTTATTCACTAGTTGCTCTTATTGCTCTGACTTTGCAGTTAATTTAGTTTCGCATGCTTTTATAGGATTTTGCATAGTATTTTTGTTGTTTTCATTTTTAGATTCTTTTTTCAAATACTCTTTGTATTTACATACATAATAGGTAGTGTATATTAGGGTGCGCCAAAAACTAACCTAGCGAATTCATGGGTTAATAAGAGAAAATATATCCTTGCACGCAAATTTTTTTAGCGTAATAAAAAGTCATTTTTGAAAAACATTTTTACATCGTGGATTCTTGTAGCGCAAAATAATTTTTTAGAAAATAACTCAATCAGAAGTTTTTTCAATTAAAAAATTCGCATGTTTCAAAGCTTTGGTAAGTTGTGGTATTTTTATTATTTTTGTTTTGCCTATTATATTTTATTTAAAAAATTTCAAATAACTAATTTTAGAAGTTTTATGCTCTACCATCTGCAATTTATTTCCATGCTGATCAGTTCAAAAGTTATGGTATTTTTGATGAAAACAGATTTTTTACGTGTAATTTATATGTACAATGACTTGAATGTCCACCGACACTTTCTAAAATTAAGCTACACATATTCGTTTCTGGGAAACTTTTTTCTTTGTATTAAAGTATAGTTTAGCTTTAAGCCCTAAATTCGTTAATACCTAGCTCACCCTAATGTATTTAGTTAGTGATTTTATATTTTATTTGCGTTTTCTTTTCCTCTTCAAACCAAAAATAGATCCGGTTTATATATAAATACATATATTTGTACATTTGCATTAGTGTAGATGTAGGTATGTGCAAGACAATTTCAATAAAATTCCCTCTTGTCTAATTTAAAAAGTTGTTATCGCCATTTGTATTATCACACTGCTATTTTATTTACAAATTAAATGTGTGCCTGGTTACCGTTTTAATGGCATAAAAAGCCAACATGCCTAGCTAGTTTACATAGCCTAGCAGAAAAATATTTTAAACGAAATTAGCGGCCTCTGTGTAGAGAGTAGTTTTGTCATAGCAAACTAAATGTATTTCAAAGCAAATTTAAAGAGAATACGACTTAAAAATAGGGTAAATATCGCTACATTTCTTTTTAGCCAATATTATCTTAAGGTCGGCAGGAGATTCGGTGAATATTGTGGCTGAAAAAATTTTAATTTTATATTTGTCACATTAGTTAAAGTTTCTCCTGATATGCTTATACAAATTATCTCCGAAAGTGATGAAACTTTGCTCATTCCCTACATTAAAATTGGCAACAATTTTGCTACATATCTTCAAAACAGTGTTTAGGAGTGCTAAGGTTACCAAAAATCGGTTAGCGTAAATATTGTTTGGCATCTTTATTAAAAACCGAAAACTGCAAAGTCTAAGAGCTTGTTATAGACTCAGCTAACCTTAATTATATGCGATTGGGAATAAGTTAGTTATCCGTTGCTCTTGGGTATCACAATGGACACTGCTGTCCAAATGTCGAATCCTGTATTTGCTTAAGTGCCAGGATCAGCCATTCAATCTAATCCAACCTAAATATTGTTTAAGTTCTTACCTTCTGGCTAAACCAATTTAAAGCCACGAGGGTAAAAAGATTTATAGATATGTCAAACAATATATTCTTAGGTTTTTGAAGCTTCTAGCATGAGTCGGCAATTAAAGGAGAAAGGTCTCCTGCAACTCCAGTGATAATATAGTGTTCAATATCTTGAAAACCTGATTAAAAAGCCATTGTTCAACTTCTGTACATCTCTGGTCCACATAGTGTACTGATGAACTCGTGCGACGA